CCCCCCCCGCCCCACCCGGGCAGCCCCCTCCCGCCAGGCCTTGCCGGACCCAGCGCCTTCTCCCTGTCACCCGCTGTCGCCTCGGGCGGGGATCGGTGCCCCGGAGCGCAAAGCCTGACGCGATCCCCCTCTCCCCCCCCCCCACCCCCACCTCCCACCACCCAGGCCCTGGCGGCGATGAGACAGAGCGGCGCCTCCCAGCCCCTGCTGATCAACATGTACCTGCCAGGTACCAGGGACCAGCCGGGGGCTGGAGGCACCAGGGCCCGGGGCAGGAAATCTGGGCTGGGGTTTGGAAAGGGGATACTGCGGTCCAAGGGAAGGGGGCGCGGTCCAGAGAATCGGATCTCTGCGAGAACTGAGCAGTCTAGGGCACTGGGAGACCTTAAAGGCAGATGGAGCGCTTTGGGGTTTTAGTGTGAGGTTTAGAGGACCTGAAGTGAGCAGATTGGGAGCCTGGGAAGCCTAGAGCGCCAGCTCAGTGGCTGAAAGAGCCTGGCAGGGGGAGCAGAGGTCTACAGTGTGGCAGGGGACTCAGTGCGCGTGCAGTGTTGGGAGGCTGTGGTCAGCCGGGAGTCTCCCGTGCACCCTCGTGGCCCCTCACCTCCGTGCTCCGAGCGTTCCCACCAGCCCAGCTTTCCAGGCGCCCTCTCCTCTCCGGTGGGCTCTGTGCGCTCCGGCTCGCTGGCACAAACCCCGCTCGGCTTTATAAGGCTCCCGCCGGCCCGTTCAGAAAGCGGATTTCCTTTTTCCTGGACGCGTTTCCTGACTTGGGCGTTATGGAGGGGCTCCGCGCGGCGCGCGCCCGGGCCAGGCTCCTGGAGGAGGAGCCGGACGGATCGGGCCCCCAGCCTCGCGCCGGGGAGCCAAGGCACCCCCCTGTTCCCCCTTGAGCCTTGGCCTGGGGCCCTTTCGGGCAAGTCGGCAACCTCCGCCTGGATCCGCCTGATTGTTTTCTCCTGCTGCCACAGATCCCGTCGGAGACGGTCTCTTCAAGGAAGGAAAGAGCCCGGGGTGGGGGCCGCTGAGCCCCGCAGTACAAAAAGGTGAGCTGGCCGGCGGGGTGGACGGGCGGAGGCGAAGACAGTGGATCGGGTCCGGGGTACCCACCGCATACGGACAGGCGCCACTGCCACCTGAACAGAGGGTGGGAGCGATATGCAATGCTAGGCTTTGGGAAGCAGAGGGTTGGGGCATGGTTGTGGGGAGGCTCGGGGCAGGGGGAACATTCATTTGGCCTTTGGCTCCTACACCTTCTGAGACCCAGGGTTGAACTCGATGGCCAGGGCAGACAAAGATCCTGCCCCCACCCCCTTTCCAGCTGGGAGTGTTTTTCCTGCTGTGGGGCTGGGGCTGAGGTGCTTGGTGTCATTTCCCTGCTGGCAGCAGGAGCCCAAGGCATTGGCACCGCCCAGCAAGGTGACCCGGAGAATTATTCCCTGGCCACTCCAGGCCGACTCACCATTAGCACCAGGGCCAGCACCCACCTGCCCCACTTGCCCATGCCAGGCTCTGTGAGCCAAGTCCTCTGGGCCGTTGCAGTTGATTCCCAGGTTGGCCACCCACTCTCTGCCGGTGGCTAAATTATCCTTGGTTTTGCCATGTTGGCAGCCGAACCTGGCCGGCCTTCCAGGCCAAGCCTCCCCACAGGTCCCCACCCAGTAGGTATCCTAGATCTCACCAAGTTACCGTAACCAGAAAAACAAGGTTGGCAACTGCTTTATCCAAAAGGGAACACAACACCCAACAGGAATGAGCTTCCAAGCCTCTATGTCCCTCAGTACCAGATGCACATTTTTACCCAAATCTTCCCTTGCTTCTGACCCTAAAATTCAACGCTCCTGACCTGGAGCCAGGCAGCTCCTCACCGGGCTGGTGTGGAGGGTCTGGGATCAAAATGATGTTGGAGGGCAGCATCTGGGTCCTGAGCGAGTTGTTGAAAAAAGAAGAGTTTCAGCAGGCTCAATTTAAAACAATCAGACAGTTTCGAGGAAAATCCCTTTTATTCTGAAAGAGT